CCGAGCCGGTGACGTTGTGTTTTGTAAACGGAGTTGTTTGTCTACGGCAGGGGCGGAGGGGAAAAAAGGGAGGGGACTGCTGGCTTCGCATTCTGGCTTATCAGGAGAAAAAGTGGTTTCGGAGACATACTAAATTTGGATGGAACCAGTTAACGGGTATCTATAGTCAAAGGTTTTTGGTTTTGAGGAGAGTTGGAAAAAGACAAAACTCCTGTCAATTAGTTTTTGCATTCTGTGCACCATTGGGTATTTTTTTTTATCTCTCTTCCTGTTCAAGGGAAGCAACAGGAAGTTGGAGAAATTCTCCCAAAGTGAGGGAAATTCCTCTCTTACACAGTTGTCCCTGTAACAGATGTGGATTTTGTATTTTTCTCATTTTCTTTCTCGGTAACAGCAGTACAGATAGAGAGGTGGATCTCCCCAATAGTGACACAGACAGCAATTAAAATCGAAAAACAAAAAAAAGTGTGTCTACCCCCGCACTGCAAGGGTTAACTGTTCGTTTTTGCCTAGGGTAAAAAGTTATACTCACCTAAACCTCTGAGCCAGGCGACTCTTAGGCTGGGTTCACACCTGGGTGTTTTTCAGCGCTGATCGAAGCGCTGAAAAACGCTCAAGACGTTTTGGTGCGCGAAAAAGTACTTGAGGTTTTTTTTTTGCGCAATGGGGCAGATTTTTCAGCGCGTATCCATTGATTTACCTCGCTGGCGGTATTCCCGAGTGTGGGTCGGGGTTAATTTTCTGTACCATATAACCCCGAGCCATACTCGGGAATACAGCGCAGCGTCTCTTACCTTGTCCGCGATCCCCGCTATGTCCTCCGGCCACTGCCGTCTTCCGTCCCTTGCGAGCGTCCGTGACGCAGGGGGGGCGGAAACAGCGGGATGTTTAAAAAAGTTTTTCGAAAAACAGATAGAGCAAAGAAGGAAAATAATAATAATAATCATACCGCCAGGGAGGTTAAAAAACGTGCCTAAAACGCACGTTTCATTGGACAGAAAAACACCCTACAAATGCAAGGCAAAAACGTGCATATAGCAAACGCCCAGGTGTGAACTCAGCCTTAGACTGGTCCTTAGAGCGCTGCAGCGAGCCATGCTACATCATCACATGGTGCCACTCTCAGCCTTATTTAGGCGTCACATTACTGACCTCCGCACTCTGCCTCACATTGCTGACCTCCGCACTCTGCCTCACATTACTGACCTCTGCATTCAGCCTCACATTACTGACCTCCGCATTCAGCCTCACATTACTGACCTCCGCATTCAGCCTCACATTACTGACCTCCGCACTCTGCCTCACATTACTGGCATCCGCACTCTGCCTCACATTACTGACCTCCGCACTCTGCCTCACATTACTGACCTCCGCACTCTGCCTCACATTACTGACCTCCGCACTCTGCGTCACATTACTGACCTCCGCACTCTGCGTCACATTACTGACCTCCGCATTCAGCGTCACATTACTGACCTCCGCACTCTGCGTCACATTACTGACCTCCGCACTCTGCGTCACATTACTGACCTGCGCACTCTGCGTCACAATACTGACCTTCGCACTCCGCGTCACATTACTGACCTTCGCACTCTGCGTCACATTACTGACCTCCGCACTCCGCCTCACATTACTGACTTCCGCACTCTGCCTCACATTACTGACCTCCGCACTCTGCCTCACATTACTGACCTCCGCACTCTGCGTCACATTACTGACCTCCGCACTCTGCGTCACATTACTGACCTCCGCACTCTGCGTCACATTACTGACCTCCGCATTCAGCGTCACATTACTGACCTCCGCACTCTGCGTCAACCTTACTGATCTCCGCATTCTGCGTTACATTACTGACCTCCACACTCTGCCTCACATTACTGGCCTCCGCACTCTGCCTCACATTACTGACCTCTGCCTCACATTACTGACCTCCGCACTCTGCGTCACAATACTGACCTTCGCACTCCGCGTCACATTACTGACCTTCGCACTCCGCGTCACATTACTGACCTTCGCACTCCGCGTCACATTACTGACCTTCGCACTCCGCGTCACATTACTGACCTTCGCACTCCGCGTCACATTACTGACCTTCGCACTCCGCGTCACATTACTGACCTTCGCACTCCGCGTCACATTACTGACCTTCGCACTCCGCGTCACATTACTGACCTTCGCACTCCGCGTCACATTACTGACCTTCGCACTCCGCGTCACATTACTGACCTTCGCACTCCGCGTCACATTACTGACCTTCGCACTCCGCGTCACATTACTGACCTTCGCACTCCGCGTCACATTACTGACCTTCGCACTCCGCGTCACATTACTGACCTTCGCACTCCGCGTCACATTACTGACCTTCGCACTCCGCGTCACATTACTGACCTTCGCACTCCGCGTCACATTACTGACCTTCGCACTCCGCGTCACATTACTGACCTTCGCACTCCGCGTCACATTACTGACCTTCGCACTCCGCGTCACATTACTGACCTTCGCACTCCGCGTCACATTACTGACCTTCGCACTCCGCGTCACATTACTGACCTTCGCACTCCGCGTCACATTACTGACCTTCGCACTCCGCGTCACATTACTGACCTTCGCACTCCGCGTCACATTACTGACCTTCGCACTCCGCGTCACATTACTGACCTTCGCACTCCGCGTCACATTACTGACCTTCGCACTCCGCGTCACATTACTGACCTTCGCACTCCGCGTCACATTACTGACCTTCGCACTCCGCGTCACATTACTGACCTTCGCACTCCGCGTCACATTACTGACCTTCGCACTCCGCGTCACATTACTGACCTTCGCACTCCGCGTCACATTACTGACCTTCGCACTCCGCGTCACATTACTGACCTTCGCACTCCGCGTCACATTACTGACCTTCGCACTCCGCGTCACATTACTGACCTTCGCACTCCGCGTCACATTACTGACCTTCGCACTCCGCGTCACATTACTGACCTTCGCACTCCGCGTCACATTACTGACCTTCGCACTCCGCGTCACATTACTGACCTTCGCACTCCGCGTCACATTACTGACCTTCGCACTCCGCGTCACATTACTGACCTTCGCACTCCGCGTCACATTACTGACCTTCGCACTCCGCGTCACATTACTGACCTTCGCACTCCGCGTCACATTACTGACCTTCGCACTCCGCGTCACATTACTGACCTTCGCACTCCGCGTCACATTACTGACCTTCGCACTCCGCGTCACATTACTGACCTTCGCACTCCGCGTCACATTACTGACCTTCGCACTCCGCGTCACATTACTGACCTTCGCACTCCGCGTCACATTACTGACCTTCGCACTCCGCGTCACATTACTGACCTTCGCACTCCGCGTCACATTACTGACCTTCGCACTCCGCGTCACATTACTGACCTTCGCACTCCGCGTCACATTACTGACCTTCGCACTCCGCGTCACATTACTGACCTTCGCACTCCGCGTCACATTACTGACCTTCGCACTCCGCGTCACATTACTGACCTTCGCACTCCGCGTCACATTACTGACCTTCGCACTCCGCGTCACATTACTGACCTTCGCACTCCGCGTCACATTACTGACCTTCGCACTCCGCGTCACATTACTGACCTTCGCACTCCGCGTCACATTACTGACCTTCGCACTCCGCGTCACATTACTGACCTTCGCACTCCGCGTCACATTACTGACCTTCGCACTCCGCGTCACATTACTGACCTTCGCACTCCGCGTCACATTACTGACCTTCGCACTCCGCGTCACATTACTGACCTTCGCACTCCGCGTCACATTACTGACCTTCGCACTCCGCGTCACATTACTGACCTTCGCACTCCGCGTCACATTACTGACCTTCGCACTCCGCGTCACATTACTGACCTTCGCACTCCGCGTCACATTACTGACCTTCGCACTCCGCGTCACATTACTGACCTTCGCACTCCGCGTCACATTACTGACCTTCGCACTCCGCGTCACATTACTGACCTTCGCACTCCGCGTCACATTACTGACCTTCGCACTCCGCGTCACATTACTGACCTTCGCACTCCGCGTCACATTACTGACCTTCGCACTCCGCGTCACATTACTGACCTTCGCACTCCGCGTCACATTACTGACCTTCGCACTCCGCGTCACATTACTGACCTTCGCACTCCGCGTCACATTACTGACCTTCGCACTCCGCGTCACATTACTGACCTTCGCACTCCGCGTCACATTACTGACCTTCGCACTCCGCGTCACATTACTGACCTTCGCACTCCGCGTCACATTACTGACCTTCGCACTCCGCGTCACATTACTGACCTTCGCACTCCGCGTCACATTACTGACCTTCGCACTCCGCGTCACATTACTGACCTTCGCACTCCGCGTCACATTACTGACCTTCGCACTCCGCGTCACATTACTGACCTTCGCACTCCGCGTCACATTACTGACCTTCGCACTCCGCGTCACATTACTGACCTTCGCACTCCGCGTCACATTACTGACCTCCGCACTCCGCCTCACATTACTGACCTCCGCACTCTGCGTCACATTACTGACCTGCGCACTCTGCGTCACAATACTGACCTTCGCACTCCGCGTCACATTACTGACCTTCGCACTCTGCGTCACATTACTGACCTCCGCACTCCGCCTCACATTACTGACTTCCGCACTCTGCCTCACATTACTGACCTCCGCACTCTGCCTCACATTACTGACCTCCGCACTCTGCCTCACATTACTGACCTCCGCACTCTGCCTCACATTACTGGCCTCTGCCTCACATTACTGACCTCCGCACTCTGCCTCACATTACTGACCTCCGCACTCTGCCTCACATTACTGACCTCTGCCTCACATTACTGACCTCCGCACTCTGCCTCACATTACTGACCTCCGCTGCTCTGCTGGGCCCCGCCGGCCCCACCGAACAATCAGGACCCAAAGCAAAGGCTGCACTG